GAAATTTTTGTAAAGTGTTCATTAAAAACATTTACAATACCTTGTGTATCTTAATTTCTGATCCGTTGTCCTTAATATGAGTAGGAAAAAAAAATTTTGGCTTTGAGGATAAATGGTTCAGATAGCTCCAGAGTTCTTTAGGATTAGAGCCTCCTCAATAGCTATTTATAATAAGTCATTTTGCATTATTAATCAAAAGCGTAACTTTATTCCTCCAATGTCGAAAATTTTCAAAGTCTTTGTGTTGATGATAGTAATCTCGTAATTGTCTAGCATCATTAATTTCTTGTGTTAACCATTTTGGACGAGACTCAGTTTTCACACGTTTAGTCTTTACTTTGCGTGACTATTTAGAATAGTATTAAAAATATTGTAAAAGCGCTAAGATATCGTTAGGATTGTCCAAATTCGTAAGGGCATCAAAATTGACACTTTTTAAATCGGAAAGAAATTTTTTTTATTAAAATTCTTAAAGTCGCGTTATTGAATTTCAGTGTGTTTTCCCTTAGCTGCAGCTGTTAGATCTGCGTGTTGCACAAAAAGGGTAATGGTCAGACATAGCTATGGGTGGTACTTGGATTTCACAGATGAGGTCAGGTTGGGTAGTGTAGAAATGATCAATAAGGGTAGATGAGGTGTTAGTAATTCTAGTAGGTGTGGTAATTATTTGAGTTAGTCCAAATGAGGGGGGTCTGTTAGTAGATCAGTATTAAAGTCACCTGTAAGTATGATTTCTTGGTCATCACAGCAGGAGGCACGATTTATCTCCCTAGCTAGGTCCTCCACCCAGCAGGTCGGTGCAGATGGTGGGCGATATGCAGAACAATAGAGGATAGGCTTTGTGTTTTTTAAATTGATTTCTAACCATATTGTTTCTATGTTACTAATTTCTAAATCTTGTGACCTTATAGGTAAATTTTTGAGACATAAATAACTATTCCACCACCTCCCTTTTTTTGATCTTTTCTTTCAATACATAACCATCTATATTCAAATCTGCGTCACCAATTTGTTCATTTAAAAAAAATTACAAAGCCCCAAAACATCCATAGATCGTTCATTTTGTAAAATTAATTTCATTTCGTCTAATTTTGGTAAAGATGACCACGTTAAAATTTCCGAAACGCAAACCTTTTTTAACTAGACCAAAACCAGAATTTGTCGGGGGACATTTATTAGAGATGTTTTTTTTTGGTAGAATTTAGACTTTCAGGGCTAGGGCTTTTGTTTATCTCCTGTTTAGAATTAGATTTTTGCTTAGTTTTGAGATAATGTATATTTTTGGCACTGAAAATTCTATCTGAGAATTTTTTAAGAAATTTACTAATTTTTTTTACATTCTGAACATAAAGTTTCGAGAGGTAAAAAGTTATTTTGCAGACTTAATGAAATACTCTCTGTATATTGGAGACATTCGTTGCCCCCTTTTAGTACGGACAGAACTTTTTTTGTGGCCAGGTTCCCCACACTGCCAACAGTCTACTTTGCTCCCATGTCTACAATTCCGGGATGAATGGCCTTGTTCTCCACAGAAGTAGCAGCACGTATATTTCATCGATGCGGAGGGGGGGGTCTTGATGTTCTTCGAACTGGGGGGTCTTTTTTTTTAAATTTCAACAGAGAGGCGGTTCCTTGGTCAGATAAATGTATACCGTCCTTCCAGTATAAAGGGGAATTCCCGGCTTTGAAAATTTGACTTGATTTAATCACTGTCCACCATACTCTTCGCACACAAAACGGATAGCTTCATTCACATCAATGATCAATGCATCTTTTCGAGGCATGACTTCACAAATGAAAAAATTAATATTTGAATTCCCTTTTTCAGATCCATTATTATCTCGGAAAAGTCATTTTCTACTGCTTCCATATTCCGTTTATTTGAGGCATCATTTCCTCCAGCCTGAATTATGACATTTTCTAGAGAAGACACATCGTATTGCTGCAATTTCTTACGAATATAAGAAATGCTGGCTCCCTTTGGTACTACATAACATTTGAACATAACCCACGGGTTTTAAAACGTTGCAGAATTGAACTTCCGATCAGGAGTGTAGTTTTCTGCTGGGTTTCAAAGTGGAATTACGTTGTTTCTGGACGGAATTGTTTCCAGTTTCCGGTGCACAGGTTGTTGTGGTTCTGTGTTTGAGAGCTTTTTTCATAGATACTTCTGGTATAACTTCATTACACTGTACATGTCTAGAAGTGACATTGTTAGAAGCCTTTGGCAGATCATTTGTACAATTGCCTTTATGTTTGAGGACTGTACAGGTTGTCTGAGTACTTGAACTGGTTACACGTTTATTTGCATTTTACTCGTTCCTTTTTTTAAAGACTCGATTTCCTGCGTTAAGCGTTGAACAATTGATGAAAGTTCCTCCACGCGTAAGGGAGAATTCAGCACCTGCTGCATTCTTTAGTTTTATTACACGGAGCATAATTGATAGGTTCCTCCTTCGGGTGCCATTTGTGGCGGCTTGGGAAATAAAGAATTTTTTCTTTATTCAATGCAAAAACTTTTTTCCTCAATAATTTCTCCCCCGATATGCTGTACTCCCCCCGAATGGAGTACCCAGGTACTTCTGTAAATTGTAGCTGTAACAGATCTACAACGTTAACTAGTCTTAAAATATGGCCATCTCCCTTAGTAGTTTTTTCACATAACAATTCCTTTAAATATAAAAAAAAGTTTCATATTTTTCTTGATCAAAGTTCACAGTAAAGCTCCTCTTATTGGTGGTGACTTTTAGAAAGCTTGGTATGTCCACATTAATGTGCACGTCATCATGATTGTCATTTATTGGATTTGTGAATCCAGTAAAAGAATCCAGAAATGATCTAAAAAAACTGGAACTTGAACTCACATCCATCATTTGATTTACTACATAGTGATTATTGAAAACAGGACTTATTTTGTGATTATTGAAAACAGGACTTATTTTGTGCCCTACATAACGACTGATAAAAAAAATCAATCTATTCCTCACAATTTCTACTTTTCGCTAGACTTACGTTAATTCTATTACAATTTGCATATTTAAAAAAATGACAATTAATATATCTTAGTACAGAAACTACAAAATTGATGAACATTATTAACAAAACAAATTAGCAACAAGCTCATTTTTCAAATGTAACAGATATGAAAATGCAAACGAATAATGAAACGCAACAGATAGGTTCTTTTTTATTGGCCATACTGAACTCGGATGGCAGGACCCACTGTTAATAGATACTGTACATTGTAATTAAGATTATCTACTTAAAATTTCATTTTGGGTAAATTTAAAAAAAAAATTAGTGAAAAAAAGCTTTTTTTTATTTAAAGGGTCATAAGTATGTGCTTGCTCGTCAACCAGAAAGTGTGTACAAGAAGAAATACCTCAATCAAATGTCATTTTTTTTTTAGATTGCCAGTGTTGTAGAGTGAAACTTCCCCCTAGTGAGATTAAAAAAGATTCTGATTGTGCACACAAGTACTCTGAAGTTGACATCAAGAATGAATGAATGAATGAATGAACTCCTATGTGACTGTTGAGTCATTTGATTTTTATTTGCACGCATATTAATGCTTCTTATCTCAATATTAAGAATTTACATACACTTATATTGAACTACTATGTTTTTTTTTATGTCAAAAATAAATAAGTGAATTTTTTTTCATTTTTTTTTAAATTAAAGATATGGTTAAAAAAAAATGTTTTTAATTCATTTATCTTTTTGATTTTTTTTTTTAAGTCTAGCGAAACGAGCTATTAAAATGCTCTTGTGACACGATAGCGGTGTTTTTCTTTGAAGTTTACTGTTCTGTATTAGCAATACAGTACAGGAGTATAGTGGGCGGAGCTATCTTCTGTACTGTATTAGCCTACCAACCGTTCTGTAACTGAAATACAGAACGATCTAAAAATAAACCAAGAAAGTCAATTTTAAGCATTCAGTATTTTAATTGCTCAATAGTTTTCAAAATAAAATAAATCGATTTTTTCCTGTTTGGAATCATATAAAATTATTTCCTTAAAAAACTAGTAAAATTTTCGCTCTTATGTAATCAATATAATAATTATTCCAATCACATTTGATCAGTCACTTTTATCCAAACGAAACGTATTAGAAAAATTAAAACACACATTCCAATACAGTGAACAACACTTCTCTCTGGATTTTTTTTTAACTTTCAATGCAATACCACACGCACTAATTTACGCAGTCATTTAATTTATCCAAATGAAAAGTTGAAATGGCAATTTTGGAACACAGAGGGCCGTGTTTGTTAAACCCCGCAGAGCACGATTACTTTCACTGCACAATTTTTTTGCGTCACCTTCGGAACGATTTGTAGTACATGGAGACAGCGCTCTTTTACCCCCAGTAGTCTGTTCGGAAGACGGTTCCTGCGATTCCTGTTTCATGGGTGGATCCAAGATTTTAGAAATGCTTTTCTTCATTTCCACGTTGCTTTTCATGTATTTTCTTACGCCTTGTTCTGACCTATGACCAGTAACATTCATGATTTCTGCCTGGGGTACACCTCCTATATACAACTGAGTAGCGCAGGTTTTCTTCCCGCTGTGATTCGTATAATTCCCTTCCAGTCCCCCTTTTTTTCGAAATTGACTTCATGAAAGTTTTCAGTTTGTTTATTCCTACGACTTGTGTCCCGTAACGCACAGGCTTTTCCGAGGTTCCGGGAAGCGGACGCCTATAAAATGGCCCCGCGCCATCTAGCGCATCAAGATAGATCTGGAAATACTCTGCTAAGCACCGATCACCTGTAAAATGATTAATTATGAGTAATTAGATTATCACCGCTAACAACTACATGGTAGTCTTTTAAAATATCCAAATTCTAGTAAATATTTTCTATCTTCTAAATGCTACTTTCATACATAAATATTTACTTCAAATATTAGGCTTACACAGCAATGCCCCCCCCCCATTCCGCTAACCTAAATTAAAGCATAGTGTCTTAAGGTAACATTATACAATATATATGAATTTTACTTACCAGGCTCACAGTAATGCTTCAGGTTCTTTGTCTGTAAATTCATCTGCCCAAATCCGCCTTTGTAGGTTTTTGATGCTCTACCAACAAATTGAATAAACTGTCCATGGATATCGTTTCCAATAGAAAATTGTTCGCATTGCAGTTTGTGGTGCTCATCACAGGCCCTCAAACCGAACAATTTACATGAATAAAAAAACATCGTGTGTTGTAATTGTTCACTGTTTTCTTTCCCAAAAACATTTTCTTGCCACAATTTCTCCTCATCTTTGGGCCATATGGGGTCAGCTTGCCCGGATCTCGCACCCAGGCCTCTATCAACGAGTGATTTCATCTTTGCGTCTAAAACTTTTCTTAGTCCGACAAAAGCTATTTCTTTCTCGTCTAGAAAATTTTTATCGTAGACACCTTTTTGTCTTAAATGCCTCAAAAGTCCACATAAAATGAGATACAGCGTTTTTGGAGGGTATTCACTCCCGTCTTTCTTCCGCGCTTCCACAATAAAACGCTCTAGCCAATGGTTCATCGATTTCGTATCCATTAAGTGAAGCTCGATAATGTCCCCCGCTCTCTGCTCGCGCCAACTTTCGAAAACTTTAACGGCCCATTTTGTATTACTTTTAGTATTTTTGTTTTCCTGATTTTCAACGAGGCATTTCAATTCATCATCATTGACGACTGGCCCAAACCTGGTGCTCTCTTTCAGTTCTTTCTTAACTTCACATTCGGTTTCCATTAAAGAAGATAAATCCCCGATATCGAACTCCATTAAATTTGAACCGCTTTCTCCAAGGCCTTCATTTTCATCGAAATTAAAGTTTTCAGAAAAACTTAGATTTTGGATGCCTTCAAACACATGGTATTCCGTTTCCATATCTGCACAGATCTGTGATAAAGTAACGTCGTCAACTTCATCAATTAAAAAATCAAGCGTTTTTTCACAATTTTCTAAGTCTACGTCCATCTTGCTACTCGTCCTTTCCAAAACTAATGTGACAAAACACTAGAAATTTCTAGAAATCTCACGCTGTCTACGGATACAGTGAAATTTACATCGAATCCTAATTGGCATGGGAATTCATTTTTTAAAGATTTACCAGAGATTCAGAAAGAAATGAAATATACATCAACATCTTATTGACATAGTGGGCGGAGTTAATTTTGATTGAGCTGATTTTGATTGGATCGTGTCATAAATCATTTAGAGAACTCGACAGGTTCTGTATCGTAGATACAAATTTGGGGGCGGAGACTCGTGCTTTCGCACTCGTCTGCCCCCAAATTTGTATCTACGATACAGAATTTGTCTCGTTCTCTAAATAATACTAACATAAAAAATGGTGCACGACAATGCATCTCATTGTGATTGCTTAAGGTACCGTCTACTTAAATCATACATGGTCTATTTTTATTAAATTCAACATTAAAAGAAATTCGACTTTTCCTGTTTGATAGATGAGTTAACAGTTTGAAACTCAATCAAACAAAGCTCCAAATTACACCGTAGAACAATCAAAGGCGCTGTTCTGTACTGCTTTGCCAGTTAGCAGTACTTGTTTAGTGAGATAAACTCACAAAACATTATAAGACCAATCTTAACATGCAACATTGCTAATGAGTGAGATACTCTGTAGTCTTATGTAGTATACAAGCCTGTTATTCGTTAATTTTGCCTGAACATTTGCATAATCGTTTTGTCCACGTTGTTCAAAGGGGCATAATTTGATTATCGAACTTTGTTAAAAATACATTATGCAAATTTTGCCACTTAGAATCAGCCGCAAGAGAAAATTGTATATAAAGGTAACTTTAAAGGGTTAATGGTGGGAATTTTTCTAAAGCACTGACTAGTAAAATATTTGTGCTTGTTGAAATACAAGTATACCTGCGCCATAATGCACTCTGCTGCAATGCAGTGCAACACATTGTGGTGCCTAGCAAGTTATCCAATCAAAATCAACTTAGTCAATTTGTTGTAATCGAATGAATTGAAAATATGATTATAAACTGTTTATTTAGTGTGTTGAAAGGAAATTAAGAACAGTTGAATGAAATAT